GCACTGTTCTTTCTGTTAAGGATTGTTTTTGCTATTCAGGGTCTTTTATTGTTCCATAGGAATTTTTGGATTGCCTTTTCTATTTCCTTGAAGAATGAGGTTGGAATATTGACAGGTATTCCATTGAATTTGTAGATAGCCTTGGGAAGTATTGCCATTTTCATGATGTTAATCCTTTCAATCCAGGAGCATGGGAAGTTTTGCCATTTTCTAAGTTCTGTTTTGATTTTCTTTTTCAGGTTTTTATAGTTTTCATCATTAAGTTCCTTCACTTCTTTGCTTAAGTTAATTCCTAGGTATTTTATTTTTTATTGGGGTTATTACAAATGCAGTTGCTTTCCTGATTTCAGCCAGCTTTTCTCATTGTTGGCATACAGAAAAGCCATTGATTTTGGGGGGTTAATTTTATACCCTGCTACTTTGCCAAATATTTGAATCAGGTTGAGTATTTTGGGAGTGGAGTTCGTGGGATTCTTTAAATACCAGATCATGTCATCTGCAAAGAGGGAGAGTTTTACTTGATCTTTCCCTATTTGCATCCCTTTTATGTTTGCATCTTGCCTTATTGCTGCTGTAACTAGGCATTCTAATACTAAATTGAAGAGAAGTAGAGAGAGTGGACATTCTTGTTTTGTTCCTTAGTTAAGAGGAAATGGCTTTTTTTCTTCACCATTAAGTATAATGCTGGCTTTAAGTTTGCCAAATACAGCCTTTATTGTATTGAGGAATGTTCCTTGGATTCCTGATTTTTCCTGAACCTAGATCTTGTTAAATGCTATGATAATTTTTATTCATATATTATTGTCACATAGTTTTCTATATAATAATACCTCCTAAAGACTTCACTTTCTGTATCTTTTTATATCCACCTAGGCTCACATATACATATACTCAGATATAGGTAGATAGAATAATACAATAAAAAGAAGAATAGTAACAAAGTTGGTTCAACATTACTTGATATTTTCTTTTCAGGTTTAAAAATACAACATGCTTATCATTCTCCAGAGAAAGACTCATGTAATAAAATCTTGTGAAATTATTAAGAAATGAATGCAATTATTGCAAGAGTGCCACTACATGTACTACTTCCCCATATTCAAGTAATAATCTGTGCATAAAATTGCTTTTAAAAATTCACTAAATGACTAATTTTGCTAATTGTTTAACCCTCAGGTAACTCATACCCAATCTTCCTAATACACTAATTTGGGTTTGTCATACCAACATTCACATACTCAAACACCTCCTTAACAAATGTTATGTAAGATATTTGGTTGGGTTATTTACCAAGAGAGTTGTTATATGCTAGAATAGCATATAACCAGCATTATAGCCAGTAATTGCAAAATATGTACAAAATAATTAGAAAAACATATAACCAAAGGTATTTACAAAATTGATATCTTATTTATATTTTAATCTATTAGAAGTTGTATTCAAGTACATTTTAAATATGACATTACTCACAGATTACTTTCTAATTCAATCTGTAAGAAATAGGGTGTCCTTGACCACGGGAAAAAGTTAACAACCTAGTTTTATACTTGGTCATCATTGTAATATTTATGGGTCTGCATATACAGTAGGTGAATTTTATAGTTACCAAAAGGAAACATACATCAAGTAAGTCAAACTGAACCACATGCAGACAATTTTTATTTAAGAGAAAAGGCCTAAATGATATTCTATATTTCATGGAAAACAGAGAAATTGGATTATCTTCTCTAGCACATCCCCAAACATTGCCATTTATTTGGAAATCAGTACTGGATATTTGCAAAAATATGGTATAGTACATAATATAATTTGTCTTAATGAGAAATCTCTTCTTTGTTTGTGCTCATATTGGGGTTTGAGCTCATTGGCTTGTGCTCTCACGAGGGTTTTAGTTCACGGCATTCTACCACTAGAGACAAGTCTAAGCAAAACATTTTGCTGGTCAATTGAGATATAGTTTGAGGAACTAAGATTGCAGGCAAGCGCCTGGCTGTCAGTGTCATTTAGAAACCAATTGCTTTCAGAAAAGAATGATTGTATTATTATTATTGCTGCTGTTGTTGTTATTTTCACTTTAGATTTATGCTATTCTGTTCTACTGGCTTTGTGCTTGACTCATGTCTTTATTACTAGTTATTTTATTTTAAATTATGGTCACATGAGCTTTCCCATTACAAGTTTCTAAGTGGACTTTTAAATATAGCAAAGAAAGGTGTACATCAGTTGTTATGCTATAAAAGTAAATTGTAAGTGGTATTCATTACCTCAAAACTATTCTTTATATAATTATTTCACAAAATGTATAAACATAAATGAGATATAGTGATTAACACAAAGTTTTAGTGCATTTAAATCTTCAAAAGTTTCTTCTATTGGTGAAAATATAAGCATGTTTCTACATAGCATATTTGTTAAATGTAGAGTATATATTCAAGAATATGTAACAGAAATCTACTCTCGTATTCTAGTTGGGTGACCAAAACTATTCATGAAGAGATAATCATTTTCAAGACAAATCATTGCAATGAAGTTTGGCCACTAAACATTTAGTGAGGTCTATTTATGTTCTACTTCAGGAAGCCTAGGGCGCTGAGATTTTACACTTGTTGGAACTCAAAATAAAATTGAAACGTATTTGTTCTGGAAAAAAAACAGAGTTCTATTAGAAACAATTGAATTAATGCTATAGTAACTAGCTATCCAGTATTTAAAAATGTGTAACATGTATTAGTCTTTAGTAAGACTCACTATAAATTACCTATTACCAAGAAGTCTAGTGTGATATAAATTTGAAAGTCCCTCTTTGAATATAGGAATGTTTTTAATCAATGGTTTAATGGAGAGGGGTGGCTCAGATATCATAAATCTAATTATAATTATAGAAGCTGAAAAGTCCATCTCATTGATGTTTAGTCTATGCTAGATACACAGCCAAAGAATTGTTTGCCAAGTGAAACCATTAGTGTTCATTTATAGTCTTTCTGGAAAATAGACATGCATACAACCTCATTTAAGATCGTTAGATGTTTAAAAAAAGAGTAATAAATCTCTGTATTAACATTAGGACTGTGTTTTATCACATTTAAGGGAGGGTTCCACAGAAATACATGGATAAAAGTGTACATAACACATGAAATTTCTAAGATTAAATTCAACTATGTGACATATTTATTTATCATCTTCTGGTTTCTAAGACTGGCTAGACAATATAAAAATAGAAAAAAGGTGTTTTTTGTGCTGTTGTTCTTCTTCTTTGTGCTACTCTTGAGCTTGAACTAAAGGCCTATGCACTATCTCCGAGCTTTTGAACTCAAGACTAGTGCTCTAATGCTTGAGCCACAGCTCCACTTCTGGCTTTTGATGGATTAGTTGGAGTTAAGAGTCTCTTGGACTTTCCTGCCCAGGTTGGCTTTGAACTATGCTCATCAGTTCTCAGCCTCCTGAGTTATTAGGATTACAGATATGAATTACCAACAGCTATCTAAATATAATGAAGTTTAATATATTTGAAAATGAAACATTTATATTTATTACAGATAATGCATTTTCCTCAGATCTGCATCACTAATTTTACAATACAAGCATCAAGTTTTAGAAATATATCAGCTGGATTTTGTCTCAACTGATTTCTGTTTAACAAGTTAATGTGATTGATATTTTTTCTTAATTTCTCTTGTTCACATTTGAATTATGTGGACATTTCTATGAAATTATTTAGTTTCTTATATACATATTATTGTGAAAATATCATACAGAGGGGTTACAATTACATGGGCAAGGTAGTGAGTACATTTCTTAGCAAGCATTGTTGCCTCCTCCTATGTTTCCCTTTCCCATCCCTTCCCATCTCCCCCACCACATGCATAACATCTTGTATATCTCATTGTTGCAATAGGTTCACCTGTATCCCTATTTAAACAATCTGTTTTTTCCCTTGCCCTCCACAAATTATACCAACATCAAATACAGTGAAAACAGGGGTTATACTGTGGAGGAGGGACATAGTTGGTTATAAGGAAAGTTTACAGGAAAAAGAATATTGTAACAAAATAATGCTAGTGATTCTAAGCAATTCACATTAACTAATATCAATTCAATGCAACATGACAAATTTGCTATTTTTGTATCCTGTTATACAACATCACATTTATTTGTTAGTAAAAAATAAACTTTACTTTCTAAATGGAAAATTAAAAGTCCTAAACTCTAATGATTTCATTGTACAAATAATTTGGGGAAATGATAAAGCATTTGAGATATTCACATTAAACTCTGTGAAGGAAGAAAAAGTATTACTAAGCCCATTTGTTTAATAATAATAATAATATGTGGGTTTGTAGAAAAGAACAATATATATCCATGTTTATCTGTTTCTAAATATGAAGAGTCATTTGGGTACCTATATGTAAAATTTTTACCATCACAAAATATTTAAATTGTTTGAATGTTTCCTAATATCTTATTTATAAAAACTGAGCCCTCAATTTTCATATTTTTGCATCTTGCATTTGCATTTTTCAAAACTATTCATTGGACAGTATTGCCTATGGATGTGAAAATGGATGTATTACTGTAGAAATGTCAAAATATATCTTTTTTAAAATCATAGGTTATTCTTAAAATTATTTGAGAACCAATTCAGAGTTCTTGCAAATTCAGATGACACAAACACTTCTAAATTTCTGATAAAAACCCAAAAAGTTTTATAGAGCAATATTGTTTTAAAAAGTAAAGCTCTTCTTTACTTCAACAACTGAAAAGCTAAGATCTCTCAATTGATTAAAACTTATTTTTGAAAAATAAATATATATAATTCCAGTTTAACAGTAAATATTTCATGCAACAATATCCTAATAGTTTTAAAGTAAGCATCAAATGACCATCTGATTAGTAAATTGCATCACTTATCAAAAAAGATCTGACAGTAAACTTGGGTGTGATATGTGCATGCTATAGCATACTATGTTCAGAGTTAGAAAATAAACGTAAAATGCAATTACCCTAAAAGACATTTCAAGATTCTCTCCACCCCAGATATCCATTCCTGCATCGTAAGTTCCTATCTCTTCAAAGTAGTTTCTTTCAATAGAAAATAGGCCACCAGCCATAGTAGGGGTCCTAGTTGAAAAACAAACAAAAAGAAAAGAATATCTTTTGAAAACAATGTGTGGAACTTAACAAGACTCTATTAAATATTTCTGCCATAATTAAGAATGAAAAATTGTATTCAAAATGTTCAAACTGGAAACAACAAAGCCAAGGTGTAAAAGGTTTGAAAATATAAAAAAGTGGTTTATTTCACATATTATGTAAAACTCAATTTAGATTAATCTCCATTCTTCTTGTTTTAATTAAAGAGACACATGAATGTAGGAGCACTGGCTACTTAAAATTGGGTTTCTGCCTTCTTTCTGAAAGACATCATGAAGAGAAGTTGCTGCCCTCTGCACTGTTTTTGAAGACATGAACTGGTCATAAAACCAGCAGTTGTGACCCATAATCATGCAATTATAAATATGAACTCTAGGAACTGGAGGACATACCTTCTATATGAAAAGATCCATAGTCTATTAAAATATGAAAACTGGAAAATGTTATAAAAATACTTACAGATATAAGTAGTAAAATACTGTAAACAAGATTATTTTCCAACATAAGAATTTTACAGCCAATACTTTATTCTTCTCTTTTCCTTATTAAAGGATGAAATTAATTACTTGATACTACTGACAAACATAAATCCCACCTGATACCTAGAGGATTAGGACTTTTGAGAGACTCAAAACATTTTCTTAGGAATATATGCATTTATGTTTCTAAGGTTTGAAATTTCCCCATGGAACAAAGAAGTCAAATGTTAAGTTTATAAAGAATTAATTTAAAAGATTAATTAGAACCCCTTGCTATAACTATTATATACTTAACAATGAAAAAAAAGAATGATCAGAAAGTAAAACAAGCTCTTGGGGAATGGGAAGTTAGGAGGAGGAAGGCTAACAGGAGGGTAAATGAGGTTAAAAATGATTAAAATACGTTATATGAATATATGAAAACAGATCAATGAACTCTGTTGAACTATTTTAAGAAAAGGTAAGGAGGATGAGGGAGGCAAGATAAAAAGAATGAGTTTGATTGCGCACATTGTATGTATATGAGGAAATGTCACAATATGTAAGTTCATAAGCTAATAAAAATGTTTAACAAAGATTAAGAACAAGATTAGGTCATTCTGCATTAGCAGCGTGAAATAAAAAGAAAAAATAAAATCCTAGTTGTTCACAACTAGAACTATACTGACTGACAAATTTAAATGTCAGTTGTGTTAAAGGGAGTGTAGTTGAGGAGATGGGAAGGAAGGGATGGTAGGGGAAAAACAAAGGAGAAGCCAACAATGCTGGATAAGAAACGTACTCTTTACCTTGCTCATGTAACTAAAATCCCTCTGTACAGTATTTTCACAATAAAAACTATTTTAAAAAAGAATTTCCAAATAGAGAGCATATTAGTGCATCCAAGGCATCTTTTAAAAATATTTATGCTTGATTGCTGTCCACTGACTTAGACTTAATTGTTCAGGAATAGATACGAACTGGTACTGTGTAAAGTTCCCTGATGATTCTAATGTACTGCCAAACATGAGGAACATTAATCTAGTAAGATTTCTAAATCTTTACTAGTTGTCTATGAGCATGTTTAAAAACTGTATTTTAATTTTTTTCTTTGAATTATAGACTCTTCTGCCAAAGGTTATACTCCTGTCTTCTAATTAAATAGTATGGTTCATTGAAAAACTGACAAATAATAGTGTAATTGGACATCAACCATATTGCAAAGCCCTAATTCTCCCAGTGCTCTCAATGTTTTATATGCAGGTAATTAACTGTCCATCATCAAAGCCTTACTGTAGTCTCAGAGCTGCTTTGTTACTTCTAGTCTTGCTGGCTTCCTATCATGAACAGTATCATTGACCTTCTGAGTTATAATGAGAAATACTAACAAAACTAAACAGATGGTAATTATGGAGTAGCCATGACCTCACCTGATTGGGGCTGTAGAAGTCTGTGGCAATAACTATATAAAGTATTACAGTACTAAAGAGTATATTTAATAAAATTAGGCACCAAAATTGCTGCAATTATGCTATCACAATGCAATCAAGTGCTTAGGAATGTTAAGTGATACATTTTTAATAATCAGTTCCGAGAGCATATCTGCTTAATGATGAAATGCTAACACATTTAAACATACGTATTGAAATTCAGCTGAGAGTTGATCATCATTCTTATATATATGTGAGAAATATATTCTGAAAATATGTAAATTTATCCATAAAATGATTCAAGTAACTTTCATGTATATTTGAAAAGAAGCATTTTTTCTTCAAAAACAATGCCGTGTTTCCTGAAGACAAATGCTGCTCATTTTTGATGTTTTCATGATCAGTGAGCTCTCTCAGTCTGTGTAATATTGTTCTGTATAATATTTCACATATCTTGCCATTGCCTATGGTGTGCAATGTGTCTGTTCTAAGCTAACTTCCCAGTGATATCCAATAAAACAGTCATACACTTGGGAACAGCTTCATTGTCTATTAATTACAAAACTTTGGTTGCAGTTTAATTAACTGAAAGTATTTTATTTTTCCAGGTTGTCTCCACACAGTGTCAAAACCACTAACCGCTTCAAAAAACTTGGGTTGGGATGATGAATAATCATCCCGGTGACTGTGAATTTTCTAATACCTACATAGGTGAAGATGCACTAAATTCACAGAGTTGTACATGCTGTTGTGTCCATCATATGATATAGAGGTAAGAGGATTTGTAAACGTATTTTTTTGTAGTTACTGAATTTAATCATTTACTCATCACAGCCCTGATAGAGACAGAAAGTATGCAAAACATTTTTTTTTGCATAAAAAAGTCCTGAAAATTACCTGTATTTTGCCTGGGTCTCACTCATTTATCTTAACACAAACCACTGTCTAAGAATTAGGAGTCACTACCAGGATATAACTACATGCATCCCCCAACTCAAAAAGAAAAAAGATACAGACAAAAATCACCACATTGAGTCTTTAACTCTTATTTCCTGCATGGAAAGCAGGAATTGTTTCTCTTTATTTCTCTATTTCTCCTTACATTTACCTTGTAATGCTAAAATACATCCTTGAAAACACTTCCAATAATCAAAACAAAGCACATAAGCCTTGGGTGTCCATCACTTAAGTTCAGCTTTCTATATGCACAGACTCATTTTCAGTCCCAAAATAATGTAGATGTGCTTTATATCCAACATCTTGTATATGAAATACAACTCTAAAACACAATTTCCTGGGTTTTAGGGGGGAGGGCTTTCTATTTCTACCGTAACACCCTTTATATCCTCTTTTGGTAATAATAGTCCTTATTTAATTCACATTACCAGCCCTGTATAATTTTTTAAAGTTTTTTTTTATTGTGAAAATACTGTACAGAGGGGTTACAGTTACATAAGCCAGGTAATGAGTATACTTCTTATGCAGCATTGCTGGCTCCTCCTTTGTTTTCTGTATAAGTTTTTATTCCTTCCTTCTACCTCTTGCCAAATTCTGGCACATCAATGAAACATTAATTTAGCACCCTTGATTCTTCCTTCCTGACTTTCCTTCATCTAATTCTCCTAGAGAATCCCTAGAGAAAAACACCAATACAACTCTATGTTACTAATGCTGTAAAAAATAAAAAGTAGCTAGCGATCACCTGTGAGTATTTTTCATTTACCTTATTTAAAAATATATATATTTTCCAAAACTTTGTATTCCTCTCAAAAACCTGGGGATTAATGAAATTTACAAAAGCTAAACTCCTTCTATGAAATCTAAACTCTCGTGCTCTAGCTCCATCTGTTTATGAGTCTTCCTCATGGCTTCTTCTTTTGTCATTTATAAGAACAATTATCCCCTTTCTTCCTATTGTGAGCTAACTCAATCTTGTGTCCTCAGCCTGGTCTAATCTCTCTTTAAAGACACTTGTTCAGGGCTGGGAAGGTGGCTCAGTGATAGAGCACTTGCCTTGCCTGCATGAGGCCCTTCGTTCGATTCCCCAGCACCACATAAGCAGAAAAGAAAATAGCCGAAAGTGGCGCTGTGGCTCAAGTAGTAGAGCGCTAGCTTTGAGCTGAAGAGCCGAATGACAGAGCCCAAGCCCAGAATTCAGGCCTCACGACCGGACCCCCTTCCCCCAAAAAAGATACTTGTTCATTGCTGCTTTTATGCTTTGTGCCTTGGATTTCTAGATGGTCCCTTTGACAAATTAGAACAAATGTTCTTAATTAACTTCTGCTTAAACCAAAATTCATCTTTACATGATCTCATACCTATTCATACTCGGGATACATGTTTTGCCCTTCCCTTCGCTGGTAACCTTATTGAAGAGGCACTTTCTCAAAATTCCCTAACCTTCTTTTGACCTTCTAAATAGAAGCTAGATTCTGCTCTTATCTCTGCAATGACTTCTTTCTAAAAGGTCTACATTTATTCTGAACTTCAGTAGATCTTCCTTAACTTCTTCTTCTAACAGAATTTAACAAGATTCACCAACCTTCCTGCTTGAAATTCTTTTCAATTCTCGCTCCCATTCATGGCTCTCTAGGGTTTTTTCTTGTACCGATTTTCCTGTTCATTACATAATTCTTAGTGATGGCAGTCTCTTCCATTGCTTGGCTGGATATTCAACTTGGGACAAGTTCTTAGTTTTTCATGCACCACATGGGTACAATATAGCATTATAATACTTTTACAGATATATGGTTATTAATTATATTCTTTTCTCTTACATGTGGTCTTTCTAAATCTTGGAAATGCTCTCACTAGCTGTGTAAAATCGCTGTACACGTTTTTTTTTTAACAGATATCTATCTCCAATGACTTCCTAATGCTTCCTAATCTGTTTTCTTGCATGTTTTCCCTCTTAATGAACTATATTTTTATAATTACTCGCTACATGTCCCCATCAGAAGATCCCAGAGGTTATTTATAATACTCAAATATACAATTTGTAGACTATGAAGTATTTATATAAACTTTAATGATATATCAAATATTATGATTTATAAGAGAGATAAATGATGGCATAATA